CTAAGCCTCGGCATGAATCCATATCTCGTACAGATGTCACGGAGCATCAAGGAAATCAGAAGTACGAGAGGAAGACGGTTGGCCCAATAGCTTCGCCTATTCGACCTGAAGAACGGTGACCTATTCCTTCAAGGTAGAAACTTCTCTCTCAAGACCTCTGATTTGTTCAGTAGACCTCGCCTCCTTAAGTGCGGCAGCTTCAGCATCACTAGCCCATTCAGATTGAAGGGCACAAATAGAGTCCTCCAACTCAACCACCTACGCTAACGCTGCCGCTTTAGTCCCTTCGGCTCTCTCCATCTCCGCAGCCTTTCCAACCAACTCGTCACGCAAACCATCGGCCCTAGACACATTCCAATCATGCTCGACCCACAAGGATTCCACCTGAGCTTGGAGGTCGACGCACTCAGCCACGACCCCCCTTATTCACTTCAATCTCATCCTCCTTAATCCTGAGTGCCTTCTCGAGCTCGCTGCATCGGCCAATGGTTCGTACGAGCTCATCATCTTTCTATTTTAACTCCTCTCTGAGAGATTGAATATCCCCCCTCGGTTCAGAGCCGAGTATGCAGCACACGGTACCTGCCACGAATTCGGTGGTACTTGGTAACAATCTTCATCATAATGACCACCTTTTTCTTATCTGCTCGGCGGGCACTCTCAATCTCTAAGATAAATGTCTACAAAGAAAGATAGCGAGCAAGAAAAGAAGAGGAGGGTCAATAGGAGTAAAAAAAGGGAAACAAAATAAGTAACTCACCCATAGAGCCAACTTGGATATACTCAACGATAGGTCGGCATCCTTGAACGACTCAAGAGTCCCATGCTCGACACTAGAACAAAGGGGCACCAGAGCAGGGACTACGCTTTCCGTGCTGGTCATCAAGTTACAGTCCAAAGGAATCACTATCGAACGAAAAGTCTCATCGGTCCTCACATCGACCCGGGTAAGCCCCTAATTGAACATCCTCTCTTCCTCGGGGTCGACATCGGAATCGGATACAAAATCACCGCCAGCCACACCCTTCTCTGCCTCATCGGTAGAAGAAGGAATCTCAACTGGCACGGAGCTTGAAGGATCACTCGCCGGCACGACTGTGATAGCCACTGATGAGGAAACAATCTCAGCATCGGGAGACAGAATCCCGACATCCGAGGTAACGTCGGTATCATGCATAGACACGGTGAGCTTGGGCTCACCACCCATCGAGCCTTCGCCCATCTCGATACCACCTCCGGTTCCAATTCTCCGCCTCTTTAAGGGACCACTTTCTTCCTTGTCTGATGGCTCATCTACCAAATAGAATAAGGATGGGTCCACAACCCTTGCCAATGGAGTAGCCGCCCTATGGACAGATCTACGCATAACTGAAATCTTGGACGAGGTGGCAGGCTGTGCAAACCCGCCCGTGGTCATAGCAGTTGAAGGCTTGACCAAAGCACCTGATTGGCGGAATGCGAGGGTGGGAGCCTTCGTTTTCTTTGGGGCTTTCCGACCTGACAATAAGGGAAACGACGTAAGCAATAAGGAAGGGCGGCACTAATGCCCAAATAATGGAGAAACGAAATGACCTACCAGTTGAAGAAGGTGGACGCCCAAATTTCTTGTTGAAAAATGACCATTCACGGATCCCTACAGTGTGAGGCAAAATTTGAGCCACCCAGTCTCGGATGTCGGCGACCAATACAGGAGGATCCCTCTCGGCTTCACCACAAAGAGCGATTAGGTAATTTAAGAAAAAAAGCAAATGACCAATTAAACAGAATATTTACGGTCGAAGTTTCACGCCTCGAGAAACCCGGTATGGTTCGCTACCACGTGCTCGGTCTTGATATAGAAATAATTGACCCAAATCCTTCGATTAGCCTTATCATCCATCTTTACCACCAGTCCTTTGGCTCCCCGGTGGTGGAGATGTATCATCGTGCCCCGGTGAAGCTCGGAGCAAAAAGATGCAGCAAATGATGGAGGAAGAGTTCGCGGCCGGCCAACTCAACATACTTTATCAATATTAAAAAAAAGTTGTAGATGTAAGGAGAGAGATAGGCTGGGCATACGTTGTAGTAATGTCAGAACTCCTCCGCTAGCAGGGGAAGATGAAGAGAATAACCCACCCGAAATGGGTACGCATAAAATGCACAATACCTGGGACGATTGATGTGGACCACATCGTCCCCGGCGTGAATCAAATCGACATGAGCAGGGACGTTGTACTTGGTCCTGAGCTCAGAAAGGTGTGACTCTCCCATTTTGGACTTCGTCGGCACGGGCTTGGGCTAGTCAATAGGGGACTTCAGAACTAGTACGGCCACTAATAACGGGTTTGGGCTAAAAATTTCCTAGGAGTTAAGACATGCACCAGCCATTTGTGTGTTTGTGTGTGAAAGAAGATCCTTGGTCACAAAAGAAAAAAAAATATAATAAGCGACGGTAACGATGCAAGAAGTTGCAGAAAACAGAAAAAGATGCAAGAAAATGAGATGAATCGCTTTTGAAAGTTTGAAGAAACAAAGTTCTGAATAAGGAGGTCCTCCCCCTTCAAATAAGAAAGTATCGGCACAAAAGTCGAGAAACGTAACTGCCAAATGCACAAGAATCAAAGCGACAGAAATGCGAGAAACTAGGCAACACCTCGGGATAAACATGCAATCATGACGCGTGCAAGGGTGACATCACTCTGGCCCCTCACCATTGGGCGCGACCTTCTAAGTACCGCCCATCATGACTAGGATAATCGTTACTTGGCATCTGGTTCGGATTTCGCAAAGCCAGGCTGGCGCAGTCCGCTTTTCAAGGTCGACCTAAAGGATGATCTCGGCAAGCGGAGGGATTAACTGTATGGGCCAAAATCCGACTAAGGAAATTCAATGCGAAGAGAAACCATAGTGGTGGGATCGTGATTCGCCTTGGGCACCTCGGCTAAGTACGATCCGGGCAAACCCCTGAAGAAGTCCGTCTTAGACGAGGTTGAGGACAAACAGAACAATCCATGTTCGAAAGTTGATTGGTCCGAAGTCATGTTCCTGAAGCAACACTAATGAGTCTTAGACGAGGTTGAGGACAAACAGAACAATCCATGTTCGAAAGTTGATTGGTCCGAAGTCATGTTCCTGAAGCAACACTAATGAGTCTTAGACGAGGTTGAGGACAAACAGAACAATCCATGTTCGAAAGTTGATTGGTCCGAAGTCATGTTCTAAGTTGAATAAATACACTATATCTTCTTAAATGACATCATCATTATTATTCAATCAAAACAAATATAATTATTTTTTGTAACAAATTAAAATACACTTATGTACATATTTTTTCAATCATTCGATATTCGAAGCTTAATTCAGCGTCCTACCAATATTATGATAATAAAGAGACATAAAATGTTTTTTACGAATTTTTTTTTTATTTTTAAATTTGAGTCCAAAAATATTAATTAAGAACGAAAGAATCCCCACCCATCCTTGGATGGTCTTAATCCATATGTCAAAATCAGGGGTGGTAAATAGGCAGGTTGGATATGGACGGATCGAAAATGGATAATTTAAAAAATGGAAATTATCCGATCCAACCCATATTTAATACGAATAAAAAGTAAGTTAATCGACGGATAATATGGATAACCATATTATTCATGGCTTCTTGAACATGATCACTTTTGGGAGAATTCCATGTCTCTCAAACGTGATGAACCTTCAATTGAGGCTTTACAAATGTAAAAGTTAAATCCATTAGTTATCCACTTGATTATTTATTCTCTAAGTGGATAATATAGTTCTTATCCATATTTGACCCATTTTTAAAAATTTCATTATCCAACCCATTTTTAATGAATAATATACATGAATAACTGTTTTCTTTTAACCATTTTGCTACCACCGATCAAAATAGTGCAAAACCAATTCTAGTCTTGTTTAGAAAACAGAACCGATGTAAGGCAAGGATTCAATATTGCAAAAGAGCGCCCACAAATATTAATTGGAACACTTGGACCCCCATGAATCATGATTACCCTACTTCCAACTTCCACGGTGATATCTAAATTTGTAATGTCTAATCTTGAAGGCCCATATGAGACAAAGAGCTTATCTCCCACCCCACCCCCTCGTTCTTGTTTCTCCCTAACCCCACCTTTCTCCTTTTTCTAATTCACCTTCTTTTTTTTTTGGACTGGATATTTCTGACTAACTTTGTACAAATTTGGATAATTAATTAGAAGATTATAACTTTATAATGGTGGTAATAATTATGATTGTTCCCCTCATGCTCATGTTCAAACAATAGAATGTTGAGATCTGAATCTAGAGGCTTAATTAATTTGTACTTAGTTGTTAATATATTTCGATATGAATTTTTTAATATCCAAAAAATCGTATTGCATAATATTAGTTATTACTAGTAGAGTTGCAATCCTACGTTTTAATAGTATATATAGTAGTATTATGTAATGTATATTATCTCGTTAACCAAAAGAATAAAGAAAAAAAGTAGTGTATATATATCAACAAGATACACGGTTGCCAAGACGACAAAATCGAACTCGTTGTATTAAGTGTTCAAATTCAATAACTCCCACAGCATAACTACTTAGTGGAAGTTTCCTTCTTTACGTGTTCATTATGTTTAAAGAAGAAATATAGAGAGAGAGAATCTGTTAGGAAAAAGGAAATATGATTCTCCTCAGCAGCGGAGATAGTTTTTTTAATCAAGCATGTAAAAATTAAAAATCAAAAATTAAAAATACAAGAAGAAGCTAAAGAATTCAACATCTAATATGTATACACACAAAAACATTGATCTTTATACACAATATAAATTTTCAATAAAGAGAATTCAAATGAATCACTATCCGCCCTAGCTTCGCCGTGGTTCCCTTGTCTTAGGTAGGGATTAACGTTTTAACTGAAAATTAGCTAATAAATCCTTGCCCGACACCATGGAGGGACCATCGACAAAGTCCAACGTCGACATTTTAGGTTAAATCACAAATAATCAATGAGTATTTATTAGCATATATGTAGGGAACTATTTTTTATTTTTTATTTTTTATTTTTATATATATGTAGGGAACTAGAGATGGGCTATGTTTTTAATTGTTCCATCTCTTTCCCCTTTTTGACTTAATTGTCACATCTCTTGCTAAGAAATTACGTCGCTAGGTCAGAAAAGCGATAACTAAAAAATCTCCCCAAGTAGGATTCGAACCTACGACCAATCACTGATTGCTTGTCCATCTATCTAAACTATAATTTTTTTTAAAAGTTATTAGATGAATTTAATCGCGATCCTTATTTTTACTTAATTTTTTTTTGAAATTCTAATCCATCATGCCATTTAACACCATAAAAGGTGCAGAGTATAAATACTTACTTCCATCGAGTGTTTACATCAAACGTTACTAATTTATTATCGTGTGTCATATATTTATTTGATCAGTATAAATATGTAATGCAGATAAGTATTTACCGGAGATTTGGAGGGGGAGGGGGGAGAGGTGGCGGGGGTAAGAAAGGGCTAGGTGAATATATTGCCTGCTATATATGCCAAGATAGAATCAAATGTTGTGTGTTGCTTGGCCTAGAAGAGACTCAAAAATAATTAAAGTTAGGGGCAAATGGTGGAATTGATTCACACTTTGAGATGACCACAACAAAAGGCACTCATTCCTATTAACGTACCCATTTCCAGTTCAATAATTCCACGCCCAACTTTTTTCACATACAAGCACACATGTTGAGCATTAGATGCTACATTTAAGTTTTGTGCTCGGATTATATACTAAATTTTTATAAATGACTCGCTTTAATTAATACATTTGATATGATAATCTAGAAAACAAAATAATAACATACCTCAATCAATAAAATTGCACCGATAATTAATGTAGAATTTTGTTATGCGCCATTGTATACAACTTAAGTCTATGATATTATTTATTACTCCCTCCGTCTCATATTATGTGTCATGTTTCTCTTTTACACGTCTCTTAAGAAATATTAATTAGGGAAGGAATTAGACCATTCTATCCTTATTTATGTCTTAAGATATAGTCTCACTTCATTGAATATGTATTCTTTTTATGTGTTATCTCCATCTTCAAGAACAATTATTACTAAAGGTAAAAAAGAAAAAAAGCAATCAATTTTGTTTTGAACCTCTAAAATTATACTCCCTCCAGTCCCAAATAAGTGATTTTTTAGCTTTTTTCTTGTTGTCCAAAATAAGTGATTTTTCCAGATTTCAAGAATGAATTTTTTTCCTACATTGCCCTTGGAGTAATTAATGTTGGAGTATGTGTTTGGAGTGTTTATGTGAAGAGATTGTAAAGGTTAATATGGTCAATTTCATTGCTAATTAATGTTAAAAGGTGATTTTCTTAATATGTGTGAAAACAACCAAAAAATCACTTATTTTGGACTGAAGGGAGTAAATAATTTGAGACAACTATTTTTAGCAACCATAACTGTTAATATGAGACAGAGGGAGTAATAATGTGAGTATTTGTTAATATATACTCCCATCGATCCACAATAAGTGACCATTTTACCTTTAGCACACTCATTAAAGAAATACGAACTCCTTGTTAAGTTGTATAAGGCGAATGTTACTTAAATTGAGCCTCTTTTATTTTCCTTTACTTCTTTTGTATTGGGCCTAGAAGCCCACAGTTGTATTTATGAACTCGTTTCTGTCATTGGGTCAGTTAGTTTTTGGCCCATATAGTATACGTTTGTAATTGAACATTTCATTGGTTCAATTTTCCTAAGATAGAAGCTAGAAACTTCTTTTCTCTCTCTGCGCATTTCTCTAACCCTAGATAGTTTCTCATAGATTTACTTCGAATCCAAACTTTATCATGGTATCAGAGCCCAGAACTAGTTAGACCGGGTGATTACAAATCGAGCGATGTTACCCTCGAGCATTTTCGCCGGAATTTTGCTCTTCCGAGGCGATCTGTTTTTCTTTGAAATTTTTCGTTGATTTTCTCCGGTGATAACGCTTTAAATTCACGTGTTTTTCTGGTGGAGATTGTTCATGTTATTGTTCAACCGAAGTGAATCAAAATTTCAGAGGATTTTTTCTCAACTTAGGGTTTGGAGATTCTAGGGTTGGGATGTGGTTTCGTCTTCGTTCCTCTGTAGAAGGTCATTGTTTCTTCCGGTTACGAATAAAATTGGTAACCCTAATCATTTTCTCTTTTATTGTATGTGTAGATTTTCTGCTCATTGTGTATAAAATGACAAATGACAATAGTTCTCCATCTAAGTTGGCTACTGGTTGTTCTACGTCTTCTCGTTCTGTGTTTCATGAGGACGACTATACTCACTCATGTCATCCTTTCTATGTGAATCCATATGACGTGTGGGGTCTTCATTAGTTCTTGTGCCTTTTGATGGCACAGGGTATGAGAGTTGGAGACGAACTATTCTTGTAGCCTTATCTGTTAGAAACAAATTGGATTTCATAAATGGATCCTCAATTAAACCTCCTGGCAGTTCTCCCTTAGCAAGACAGTGGTAGAGGTGTAACGATTTAGTCGTCTCATGGTTAACCAACTCCTTGTCTAAAGACATTGCTCGTAGTGTTGAGTACTCTGAACTTGCCAAAGATATTTGGAGTGAGCTGGAGAAAAGATATGGTCAAGAAGATATTGCAAGAGTATTTGAGCTTAAAAAGGAATTAGCTCACATCTCTCAAGGCTCTCTTGATATTGACACCTATTTCAATAAGATAAATCAATTATGAGATGAAATTGATGCTTTGTCAATTAGTAGAGTCAGGTCTTGCAACAAATGTAGGTTTAAATCTGATTATCAGAAGGATGATGATGTCCAAAAGGTGTATCAGTTTTTAATGGGTCTCAATGATACATATGTGCAGACTAGGAGTAACATCTTTATGATTAAACCATTCCCTTCTCTGAGCACTATCTATAGTATTTTTTGTCAAGTGAGAAGTAGAAGCAGATTTCTACCTCTCCTCATTTTCTCCCTACATCTGCTTCTTTCAATGTTACGGTGTCCAAACAAGGGTTTCCTTCCAGAGTCAATTTTGATGCTCAAAA